CTTTTTGATAATTCTAGAAAGTGCATGAGAATTATACCGCGGTTTACTGCCAATAAAGTATAATTCACTGGTTTCCATAAATAATTATCCAACAGCACTCTAAGTTACTCTGTATTCACACTGAGGTTAATGGAGTTTAAGGGCAATGAACAAACCGTTTATGTCCACTGCGGTTGGAATAGTTTTCCTTAACCCGAATAGTTGCGTCTTACTCGTTTAACTGCTCATCGAGACTCTTATCCCTTTCATGTGCAATTATGCAACTGTAACATCATTCCGGTGTGAGGGGGGGAGTTTATCGTCGAGTACCACTGTACAATCACCGACTGAGACAACGTTTAATTGTTATTGGCCTTATCCAAGTGGCAGGATATTCTGGGGAGATGGCCAAACCTCCGCGGCAATCAGTGACACGTGAATAGCTACTGGGATTCCCATGAAACTCTCACTACAATGGTACATTCAGTGTATGAAGGGTTGACTATTTTTTATCACCATTATTCATCCCTCTGTAATGGTGTATTTATTCAACCGATGAAAAAAAGTCTCACAGAAATAATCGTAAAGTCAAATAAAAATAACGTGAGTAGTTCTCTCCGCGTGATTATACCAAGTTTTATCAATCTCACGCAATTTATCTCCGTGAATTTATATATAATGCCGTAAGTAGTGCCATCATGGATGCTCCATTCTGCCACGAGGGAATTTCACGGAGGAATTTAATAATTTTCAACCCCGAAAATTTTACCCCTGTCGTTGGAAAATGTGATACTAATTTCAAGGAGATTACGCCTGCATCCATCGTTATTTTAGCGGACAGTTGTCGAGAATTGGTCTCTGTCAGGTGTCTCATTGGGGCTGAAACACTGTATGAGGAAATATACAGTGGATTTTCAACCCCCATTGGGAGGTGAATCGAGAGAATGGGGGTAGTGTGAATTTCATGGTGAGAAACGAGGGATGAATAGAGACAGAGCGCCAGCACCGGTACAGAGTTCCCACGGGATCTCAGTCCTGCTTAATTAATTGAACTTAATTTAAATTTAATTTAATTTCATCGTCTTAGTTGGGACCCTTGGCCCATGAAGGAGGTGTATTTTTTCACCAGGTATTTTTCCCTCATCTCATCTCGTTCGTGGACGCTCCATTTGAACGAAAAAGCCATATCATCCTGATGCGAAGGTTGGATCAACAAACGATAATGGATCCATCGCTCTCGCTCACCAATTTTTATATTTAACAGAATGCGAGTGGAAAACTATAAAGTCAACCATTCGATTCAATCCTCGAAGAGCCACTGAGAGACGTCGGTTCTCCATAAAACGATGAAAGAGACGGAAGCCGAATGGGGAATGGGGAAAAAAAAAGGGGTAAAAAATGTTTAAAAAAACTTTGAATATTTACTTGAATTTCCTACGTGCCCGGAAATCGCTGGTTCGTTCGCGCTTGTCCCTTTTCCTTCTTTCTCTATTCTTTTATTCACTTTTTCTACAAGCACCACGAATATCGATTAAATTCCTCAGGCAAGCTTGAGGCTCGTTGGAATGTTATGTGCCGCAAAATGCTTTCAATGGTATACCCCCCTCAGTGGAAAAAGTCAGTGGAATGAGTTTTTGTGGAGGTGCCAACGCCAGAAAAACACCTAGTGACGGAGAAATAAAAGGATGGTGGACATTGGGTGGGCAAACGGGCAATAGGGGATAAAAATTAAAAATTCTCGTGGCGTCAGAGGAGAATCAATTCAGTCGGTGCTATACTGGGAATCTCTTTATCCACTTCATTTGAATTTTTTATTAATTCGTGGAATAATGCCTGAGGTCCATTTCTACCTGTGCGGAACAATTTTATACCTCTGATAATCTGTTCTAATAAAATTCTCTCCATATAAAATTCTATGGATCACACCAACTTCGTGTCGAAAGAATTTGCCGCTATTTTAAACTCTCCCACATCTTTCATCATTTCGGAAATTAATCAATTTTATTTAACGCCGATGTGTCTTCGATATCGTCCTTTTAAAATAAGTTTGGGATTTTTTTTTATATTTCTGACGGTTTAATATTAATAAATTCAGTATTTAATAGTCCGCGCCAATTTTTCAATTCAATTTCAATGGAAAAATTTTCATCCAGCCGCACCAGTAAAATTAACCTCCAATTACCCGAATCATTGATACTCCATACCTTCAAAAGAGAAAACTATTCGGTGAAAAAATTTTAAGAGGTAAATCGAGACGGGCAATTTTAACGAGTGCAATTCTCCATCCTAACTTTTTTGATGAGTCATCATCGGATAATTACCGCAAATTAAACGATCGTCAGAATTTCGTGATTTCCGCGAAGTTGGAAGCATTCCGCAATATGACATTCATTAATCGATTATGATAAATCGCAAACGCCATTCTCACCCCGTCCTCAAAGCCATTTCTAATCTCGTCTCCATCGCATGCATCAATTGCACGGAGTTATTAATTTCCATAATATATCGGGAAACCGTGCGATATTACCGGATCTCTTAGTCGTCTGATACTCCAGTGTACATTATTCCAGCGGAATTACCGTCAAGACCTCTTCAACATTGATATGTAGACTGTAATCATCGCTTAAATGAGTCTCAATAATTGAAGTACTCGATGAATCCGAATTGTTAGCCTTCAGCGCAATATTCAATTGTCTGCATTAATTATTTCAATTCAGCCAAATCGAGCAGAATCTGCTCCAATTGCGTTAACAATTTAATCAGCATCGGGTTAATCCTATCATTAAAAAAATTAAAACAGCACATATCGGTATTTCCCGATCGTCGATAACGAACCATTAATATTTTACTTCACCGTTAATATTTTCTCTCGATTAATCATTAAATGGTAAAAATTCTACAATGGTGGATTCCCAAATATTAATTACTTCAATTCGAGGACTGAAAATTTAATTTGGTATGGAATGTCTGTAATCAACAGACGTTCAGATCTTTAAACATTAATCACATCAATCTGCCCTGGTGATACGCCCGGCTAAATGGCAAAATAAGAGGCGGAATGGGTGGATATCAACGGCGAATTTACGATGAAGCGTTACTCAACGAATCGGTTCTACAGTTTTCTCATCACGATTACTAGCCATTTTGTTTGGATGGATTTCTTACCATGAGTTTAATAACAGCACGTAATACGCCCGGGGTGTCGTTAAATCGTATCACGACGCACGTTAACGGTTCCTTATTTTCAATAGATATTTCGCTGAGTTGGTCACACGGGACGATCGTCAACATTGTATCCTCCCAACAGCCAATACTGGCCAATCACCGTATAGTCGCTCTCGTTACAGTCACACCTCTCCTCAATTTTTTTTTTCCTGTAAGTGAAAAGGAAAGCAGAAATAATTTTATCTTGTAAATATTGAAATAGAAAGTAGAATTTGATCCTTGATAAGGTAATTTCAGGAACCGATCGGGGAATCATGAGATCGTGAATCAACGATCGCGCGGTTTTATTCGGGATAAAAAATTCTCATAGCGGGTGAATTTTCATTAAAAATGATTTCTCTAATGTTGAAAACGTATACACAGAAAAGCGTAAAATAGAAGTGGATGAGAGACGGCCCCGCGAACTCGCTAGCGTTGAAAATCCAATTGCAAGCGACAGCGGGCTAACGTGTCAGTGGCAGCGGGTGGCCATTTTTTATATCCTCCTGGGTAGAAAAAAAAAAAAAATTGAACAAAAGGATAGCGCAGAGAGAAAAAAAACGCGTCGAGTGAACAATAAAAAATATTATGGCCAATGGCGTCGACCAATTGTAGTATTTATAAATTGAACGGTTGAAATACATCGATGAATGCAAAAATCCTCTCTTCCTCCTATTGTCTTGCACCCGAAACAATCGGTCCGTCGAATAATCCCGTTGTGGTAGCCAATTCATCAAATTGGGAAGTTAATCCTCAGTGCTTTTCAATTTCACTCCAATCATGAGAGAAACTCCTTTCACCATAATCGTATTACAATTTTTAATGAGAAACCGAGGGACCCACTGATTGCTCTCGTATAATTCCGAAGAACACAACTCCCAACTTATCCATGTAATTTCGTTTTTTTGTCGTTCTTATTACTGCATTTCCGACCATTAGAAGTTTCAATTGAAATTTGTTTTATTTCGTTTTGCGAACATGTATAAAAACCTCGGACTTCTGTACTGCGGAAAAATGTACGGATAATTTGGACATGTTTTTATTTTAATTGTTATAGTAGCAATTCAATTTTCTCCATTGTTTACACTTTTTATTTATAGAGAATTCCCCTCGACAGTCTATCGATCCCCTAATTACCAACTCCTTAATTTATATTTTTACGTATAATTTTAATTAATGTCCATATTACCCCAACATTTTGAAAAAGAAAAGAATAAATAAATAAAAAGTGAATGAAGAGTGGATGTGAGTGGATCGTTAAAAATCACGCGAGAGTCTGAAATAAAGATCAGGCAATTACCGAGACATTGATGATAATGAACTAATCTAAAAATGATTGATCGTGCCATTACAATCCTCTGTAAAATTAATTTATTCCTTGATTTATCTGAGGACATTACTGGAACAAAAAATCGTAATGTCGTAGAAATGATTAGAATATTGGAACAAGTGAGGGCATTAGTGACGACTGAGGGGGTTAATAAAAAATGGGATGATGGAGTTGTGTAATAAACACGCCATCAGAGAGGGCGAGGGGATAAATAGGTAGTGGTGTTAATAAAGTCTTATCGTAGTGCGACCATGCGTGTCGACTTGAAGCTCACCGACACACTAATCCCCTATGCTAATTCGTGGTCAGCATGCATCCATTGGTTGCGATAATTCAGGTCGCATAAAGTTTATATCTGAACAAGAGGGTGATCGCCAGTCACCGTCACTTCATTTATTATTTTCACTCCTCATGGTCCCCTCCACCTCCACTCATAATTACACATTAAGGTGAATCGTTAGCAATTCAAGACCAAATTTAAGCACAATAAAATCATCAAAAAGCTTTTACTTTTTTTAAGAAAAAGTACAAAATAAGGCACACAAATGACATATTCGATGACAACGAAAATTATAATGCACACTAGGCGGTTTTTCTCTTTAAATACGTTGTTTTGTAAAAATTCCAGAACAAATAGAATATTACGATTACTTGAGACATGTAAATGTAAGCCAGGGGCTTACGCGTGGGCTCGCAGGACGGTAGAAGCGCTTGAGTCGTGTGTATCACCATAATCACAAATTGGAGCTGAAAACAGAAATATTCGAGTTGACTGGCGTACAATGACTATTTGCGGGCCATCGGGGGGGTCTTATCGACTCGACAATTTCTCCTGACAATTATTTCGAGTATTGTCTCGATAAAATGGCAATGCTAAGTAGAAAGGGGCATGTTAAAATGTCCGCCTCATTTTATTCCAGTTAGACTATATCTCCGAATTTTTACGAATTATGTTTTTGAATTATATTTATTTTAGCGTGCGCATTGAAATAAATTATAATTATGATTTTTAATTACTGCAAATTGTAATTTTCATGGATTAATTCGTTGCCAGTGGAATTTGTTCCGTTACGAAGATTTAATCGAAAATTTAATGTAGGAATGCGATGACGATATTTTCAGTATTGGAATTAAATGTAAAAGTGAATAAAATAGATCGGGTAAATTACCATTTGCAACATGGTTAAATATGGCTTCCATGGAGCAAGAATCTTCTGCATAGCTGGACCAAAACTAGCTAGAAGATAGTACGTATACATAATAACATGAACGATGCAGTTTGGCATCATAATAAATGTCCACATGCCACCTGAAGTATAAGGAAAAAAATGAGGTAATAAATGGTTGTAGGATGAACTTTTCGGTAGATAGATGGATGAAATTTTCATAACTCAAATCCTACCGGGAGCGTATTTACAAGCGATCCAAGCAAGGCAGACGGTCGTTACGTGATGATAGATGTGCAGAAAAGAACACTGGCTGAATTTTTTACGCAGAACGAAGATTACGGTATCACCGAGTTCAAACATTTTGAGAATCATCAACCACCAAACCCATCTCGCCATCTGAAACGAGCGATATCCTTTAACATCGGATATATATGGCTGTCATCGTTATGAATTTTCAGATTATCATAAAATATTTATTAACTCCTCAGAAAACATGAAAATTTTTTATCTCCCAAGCCCGCCAGATATTTAAAACAATGTTAATCATTATAATTCGCAATTACTTCACCTCCAGAAAAAATGGATTATTCCTCTAAAAGAAATTCTGAAACGAAATCCCTCACTCATTTGTACCGCCTAGAAAATTATCATAATCGAGAGTGATTTAATTTCATTGTCCTCTGTTTTTTTTTTAATTAATCAAATTATTCTTGCACTCACGCTCATGGGTTCAGGATCGAAAGAGTAATCTACGGACTCACAACCCCAGGACAATTTGGTAGTAAATCCCGAAGTCAGTATCTGTCAATAAACAATGAGCCTGAGAAACGTCCAACAGGTATTTTAAAAAATGGAATAAATAAACAACTTACGCCATAAAATACTAGGCCACTTGTGATAGCAACAAATACATTGTAGAATATCATGAGGTTGTTGAGGGAGTATGGAGGTCGATTTTTCATGATCCTCGGACCAATATAAAGTACGAACATCAGATAAGCTATGAGCACACATGTGAGAGGAATGGGATTAGACATGAGGGGCCAATCAGCCACCCTGGGATCTGGAATGAAATATTTTTTAATCACCCTTTTTTCAATTCATCAATAATAAACTCACCTGCTATTCCCTCCATCAAGTAACGATATGCCTTCTCCAAGGGCCCCATATTCTGTAACGAATGAAACTTGTGAGACCGCGTTGCCATTGGGAAAGCAGAAATTTATGCAGTTATTAACAGTTGCGTGTTTTCCTTATCTACTCGATACTTGCACAGAACTTGTCAGTCTACGTACTGAAGTGACTACCATGACTTCACCTAGGAATAACCTAACGGATGCCGTATTGAAAAAAAAAAACATGCAAAAGTCATCCTACCACTACAATCGTCGGCTTTACTGTTATAATTTTACACCGTAACAACTAGAACGGATTATTTTCCACACATCATGCTGTATAGTTCATCGAATTCCTCGCTAATTATGGCTATCGTTACTCCGTCCGTTATTTACTCATAAATATTTTTTCTTTGACCGTTGGAGTTAATGAAATTTATAGTATTGATTTTTTTTACTGTAAAAAAGAGTTTTTATTTTCATTTTTATCAATGAATACAGAAGAATAAAAAATGTATACAATTAAAACGAGATTGTCCTATATTTTTGGAAGGGTCGAGGTCGCGGCATGGACTTGTCACGGAATACCCCACATACGTCGTGAATTATTTTTTCGACAATTGCAAATTCCAACCAAAATTATATAATTATGAAGTTAAAACGAGTGGGTTATGAGTGGACATGACATTGCATGTGGGCACACATCGTTCATGTGTTATTACGCGTATTTTCAAATGACCAGTGAGAATGAAAGAGCCGTACGAAGGGGGGAGGTGAGAGGGATCATAATTTACCGAGGCGATGGTCAGCGACCGCTAATCCATCACTTTGGCGGTTTATCTTTTTTTTTTTTGTTGTCTCTCACCGAAGATGGGAGGGACTCTGTATCATGGGAAATACTGTAAAGGCATCTATCACTCGTGCCATCGTTATCAGGGGGAGGAGAAGCGCGATGTAAGTGTCATACGTGATTAAAAAAAAATATATACTTCGGAATAAAAATAAATATTCCCCTGACGTAATTAACGACTCGCTTAATTGAGAGAGGATCATGAGGGTAATAACTTCTTACCTGAAAAGTATTGACCTGAAATGATGGATATGATCGAGTTAATGGTGATAAGGTAATAAAATAATCTCATTAAATTGTTAGATATCACCTCTCGTGTAACACATTTAACTTTCTTCGTGAATCTGTCTGCTCCCCGATCTGTCTATAATAGTCCGCTGATGATGATAGGAATTATTGATGCACCTGTTGGAATATTTAACCGAAAATTGAATAATTTACCGATTCGATTGGTACAGGTGATGTTTGATATTAACAGGTACTAGTTCTGGAATACTCACGAATAGAGTTGACAGGTACACGGACTAATATGTATTCCATGCAAGCGCACCAATGTTGTATATTGGAGGAGCAATAATGTAACAATAGCCACTTATGTACTTGCAAGTGTCACAGGCCTAGACACTAGAGTTGTTATCGTCTTGTAAAGCGTTGGAATACTGGCTAGCACACACTGTCAGGGCATGCACCCTCAGTAAAGGCTTAAGTGCAGGGCCGTCTTGGAGTTGTTGAGCGCCCGGAAGAGATGTCTAAGCAATTCCTGGGGATTTATCCACATCAATTGAGGTATGACAGTTTATGCAATGAGTCAGCGTCGACTGGTGACCATTCGGGAGGATAGATAATTCAAATGAATCGGTTAAACTGAATTTTTTTCGGGGAATTGGTATCGTGTCCTGGTGGATTCAATTACCAGGTCGATGGAATTGCTGTCGAATTATTAACTCGACTCTGGGATTTCGATTGACTGACAGTGGAGCAATCCTGCATTAGTCCGCCCGGGTTTAGTTACCGACTATTAAGTACGGACTGGAGACATTTCTACGGCTTCATCGCGTACTTTCATTTGAATGCGGATTAGCCGACAATACCCCTATGTGCTTATTACTATCCAGGTGCGTCAATATTCCAACCTGCACCGTTGAAATAGGACATTTAAATAATAATCAAACGCATGGTATCGATGATAGTTCATTCTTCATGATTTAATCACGACCAATGGCTTTTGAAATTCAGGCCATTGCGTAATTGAGTTTGCCGCATGTGTGGTAATTATTCATATTCTGTTACTGTCAGTCTTATCGACGACTTGTTCAACCGCTGATGGTACCTTATCGACGTGGCACATCGCTGGGTAAACATAACATAATCGTCGGATAATAAAAGGAAACAAGTAAAATTAACGCAAGGTAATTTAAGAAAATAACAAAAATTTATTAAAACAAACAATGAGAAATAAAATAACTTAAATGATAATACAATTGAAATTAATGATACAATACAATCACTGCTGAGAATTGAGTGGAGTTTTGGTTGATTGTTCGGTGATTTGTTCTGGTTTATTGGATTGTTGGGAATTTTCATCAGTTTAATGCGAAGTTTCAGGATGGAGAGACTAAGTGGCTGATTGAAACTCATCATTGATGAGAGCGAGAGTAATTTATGCACAAGCACTGGCAATAGCTCGAGTGAGGGAGACTCTGAGTGGATGAAAGTTGCCAGAGATGCTGATTTTGAGAATCTGCATAAGTGATTATCTCGAGACTATTAAATACAAAGTCTGAGGGGAATGTGTTTGATGAGTTTATTAGGTGCCTTAATTACTGAGTATTCGTACAGAATTGAATGTTCTGTCACTGGAAAAATGTATTTACTTGATCCCTTGCAACTCTCTGATACCTAGTAAAAGCAGTTTAATGTGTGCATTAGTTTTACTGATTTCTGTTCTTAGATTTTTAAGCTGTGAATCCAATAGTTTAATTCTAACTTCGATTAATACTAGGGCATCATCGAGACTAAATTCTACGTAGTAACCTAGGCCGACGTCTACGAGTATGTGCGAGGCATCCTCGACTTTGGCCTGGACAAAAAAATTATTTCCAATATCAATTTTTGTTTTAAATCCAGTCTCACTTGATTTTGTATTCTTCAGGGTCGTGATGATGCTTTTCAATTGGAGAAATTCAGCGACTTCGGAGTTCTTCTCGTCTAGTTTTTGGGATAATTTTGACAGGTCAGACTTCAGTGTGTCGTTTATATAGGCCTCGAACTGCAGTATCTTCTTCGATATTGATGGATTCATGGCTGCAATTGATTAGAGGTTATAGACTGATGAGGATGGGAGTGAAATATTGATCGGTAATGGTGGTTTTGTTATTTTGCTTACTTGACGAGGATTTTATCCTACTCTATGTAGGACTGGTGTCACTCTTAATTTATCTACTTTAATGGATTTTGTGTCACATTTATACTAACTTTTTTTTCATTCCACTGCTCGACGAAGACGTAACCCAAAGAGGATTGAGTAAAGTAGAGGCTCAGTTCTGAGGGTTTGAGTTACTCCACCGGCATCGTAGTACGTCACCCCAAGAGAGGGATGGAGCCACACGTAATGCTGGGGTGTCTGCCTGTCAGACGACTGGGTAATCTGAAAATTTGAAATTTTTGAAAAAGTAGCAGGGAAACATGTCAATTGAGAAGGTATTCACTGAAATTGGAAAATTCCAAATTTTCAAAAAAGTATCAGGGGAGCATGAAAATCGAGGAGGTATTCACGGAAATTTGAAAATTCAAAATTTTTGAAAAAGTATCAGGAGAGCATGTCAATTGAGAAGGTATTCACTGAAATTGAAAAATTCCAAATTTTCAAAAAAGTATCAGGGGAGCATCAAAATCAAGGAGGTATTCACGGAAATTCGAAAATTCAAAATTTTTGAAAAAGTATCAGGAGAGCATGTCAATTGAGGAGGTATTCACTGAAATTGAAAAATTCCAAATTTTCAAAAAAGTATCAGGGGAGCATAAAAATCAAGGAGGTATTCATGGAAATTTGAAAATTCAAAATTTTTGAAAAAGTATCAGGAGAGCATGACAATTGAGGAGGTATTCACTGAAATTGGAAAATTCCAAATTTTCAAAAAAGTATCAGGGGAGCATGAAAATCGAGAAGATATTCACGGAAATTTGAAAATTCAAAATTTTTGAAAAAGTATTAGGAGAGCATGACAATTGAGGAGATATTCACTGAAATTGAAAAATTCCAAATTTTCAAAAAAGTATCAGGGGAGCATGAAAATCAAGGAGGTATTCACGGAAATTTAAAAATTCAAAATTTTTGAAAAAGTATCAGGAGAGCATGTCAATTGAGAAGGTATTCACTGAAATTGAAAAATTCCAAATTTTCAAAAAAGTATCAGGGGAGCATGAAAATCAAGGAGGTATTCACGGAAATTTGAAAATTCAAAATTTTTGAAAAAGTATCAGGAGAGCATGTCAATTGAAAAGGTATTCACTGAAATTGAAAAATTCCAAATTTTCAAAAAAGTATCAGGGGAACATGAAAATCAAGGAGGTGTTCACGGAAATTTGAAAATTCAAAATTTTTGAAAAAGTATCAGGAGAGCATGTCAATTGAGGAGGTATTCACTGAAATTGAAAAATTCAAAATTTTCGAAAAAGTATCAGGGGAGCATGAAAATCGAGGAGGTATTCACTGAAATTTCAAAATTCGAAATTTTTCAAAAAGTATCAGGGGAGTATCCCCTGGAAATCATCCCGTGATAATTTTTGGAAAATTCCGTTTTTTTCAGATTTCAGTGAATACCAATTTCGTAACACAGAAAATAAAATTCACCCTGTCGACTCGTCGCTCTGACAGCGGGACTACTACTGGGGCAGTTACCGAGTCAGCTGATAGCCAGACCCCCCACCATTGCGTGTGGCCCCCTCTTTTTCTTGGGGTGGGGTACTATAATGCAGGTGGGGGTCACTCAAACCCCCAGAACTGAGCCTCTACTTTAGTCATTCCTCTTTCACGTAACCACTGGGTGTTTTCCTTCCTGGCGGTCCTCTGGGGAACTAATTCCTTCAGAATTGATTTATAAACAGTCGGAGTGAGCAATCACCTCTTTATCGATGCAAAGTCAGGCGGAAAATCATTTGGATTTGAATGACAAAAAAATGTATTGAGAAAATCTTGAAATCCTGATCTTTCACAGTAAAATTGAAAAATTGCTAGAACTACTTTCTAATTTTTCCGCAGTTAGTTGAAATGTGTCATAACGAATTTAATCCCCAAATAAACCGTCAAATTTATGCTGACTTGATACAATTTTAAGACCCTCCAATTAATGACAAGTGTTTGAACCGCAGAATGGTGTATTAAAACCGCCGATAGAAGTGATTACATAAGCTCATACGTAACAACCACTAGTACCCAATTTGAACGAGAATCTGTAAAACTACCTCATTAACGTTGAGACCGTACATGCCCCCCAGTTATTAAAACTTCCATCGCAACATTCTTGTCCACAAATGCAAGTTGTCTCCAGCAGTAGCTGAAACTCGCCTCATATAGAAAATTTGCCCGTCAGCCGAAGAGAAATCAGATAAGCATATAGCAAACTTATTAATAAATTTCATTATTATTTCCGGTAGAATGGCTTTTTCACGGGCCAATTCAGTGGTATTTGCAATGAAATTGAGTACCAGGTTATTTAAAAAAATTGTACAACTTATTGATAAGCGATTGGTATTTATCATGGAAGGGAATGAGAATAAAAATTACGAAAATATCGTAAAAATAATAAAGCAACTGTTGGGATGGCTGGTGGCAGGGGAATAACTATAAAAAAAACAACAATGAAGATTGGGCTTTGAGGTGGTGTACATTGGTCTTGGAGTGTTGCGTGGAGACGAATAAACGATTGGCAGTCAGCCTCATGCTTGTTGCCGTATATTTCTGTGCTATCTAAGCAATATAGTCGTTGGTTTATGTGGAGAGCGGGCAGTTAAACGTTACGAAGACTTTTATAGGCCTGCGTGAATCCGCGCTCACTCAACGACGGTTACGACGCGATCTCGTCGGGTGTTATTTTACTTTTTATTCTCATTTTCATCCCTCTTGTCCTTTTTTTTTCCAATCTCAAATCCTTCACAGCTAAATACATTGCTCAGGTGTTGAATCCTTAAAAAATAATGTGGGCACACCGCGTGGTGCCATCATACGATTGAATTCATCGGGATTTTAATGGTTTTTTATCACGACTCACGCTGGAAAAACCATTTTAATGTACAACTTTTTTGCCCTCATTACTTTACCAGTTTACATTTGAGAATTATTGAGTCGTCGAACAGTCGTTAAATAAAAAATTCATGCTTACCTGGAGTTTGGTTTTAACGGGTTTGCAAATAAATCTGTGATAATGATAAATGCCTCATTGAAATAGAAACGAAATTGTTTTTTATTACATCGCATACTATAATTTAACAGTTATGATGATTAATGCATTGAATACATTGAAATTCACAAAAACGGTTTGCCTTTTTTTTAACTTTATTTTTTGATTCCAAGCTTTATGGCCCTACAGCGTTTAAGGATTATGGGTTCAACATGGTTTTTCTTATTATTTAATTCTAACTGGACTTTTTTGACAATTTCTTCAGATTGATGTCTCACAATCGTCCACTGAAGTCTTTATCAATAAATAACTATAATAGTCTGCATAAAAGAATTACAAGGTAGAGATAAAATAAGTCCACAGACATTTTTTTTTATTCGTCACAAAGAACTTGCATTATTTATTCTGTCTGGAGGTGTATGAAAAAACTTCGGAACAATTGCTAAAGTAGAATGCAACTTCCCTGTTAAGAATAGAACAAAAAATCATGCAACAATCCTGCCTCATTATTATTTCTTTTTATACTCATATTGATAGACCGCATTTTATACTTCATATCCTAACTAACTACAAGTTACTAAATAGAAGAAATTATTGGAGAAAAAGTGATAATCAATTGTCCTCGGATTTTTACAGCGTCGACGACCATGACACGTTGCAAAGTGCTACACATTTCGAATTTATAACTAATGTGCATAATGCCAACATTTCACGATCTAGTGGAGCTGAGACACTTATCGTTATTCAGCTACGGAAACAATTAGAAGAATTTCAATAAGGTAATGAGAACAACTGCGGTCATTTTAATGATAGAAACCCGTACTCGACATTCATTACTGGCTCATTTTCACAGCTGCAATGCATTTTAATCTACTCTCAGAGACAGATTGATAATCGCTATTGCGATTATTGCAATACAGTCTGTTAGTTATACATTGAAACAGGTTGAGATTACACATGAATTTTCTTTCTTTAGGAAAAATATAGGATCTTATTGAATCCGTAGGGTGCGAGAACATGACAATTTCCGATGAGAATACGTTGAGCCCAATGAACAATAAAATGTTGTCCCTTGAAAAAACAATAACAGTGAAAATATAAAGGGGAGTAACTGAACATTTTCCTAAACTCTGTCAATGAAAAAATGTTGGGAGAATTTTTTCAATAAACCAACTCATATATCTGTACATACGTCAAAACTGTGACATAACTTATAATCATGTTTAATACACCACGTTATCAATAATCATCATTCGATGATGGCCGATGATGATCAAATAAGAATGGTTAACTAGATACAGTACTTTGAATAGAATATTCTCCTCTGAATATCACAACGGAAGAGAAAAAAATGATAAAAAAAGAGAGAAGATAAGTTTTGTGACTTTGGAAATGTCCCATTGTTGATAAAAAATTCCACTATTACCATTTTTATTATTGCATTTAATTTACACCGAAAGTCGTAACACGTGTGTCCAACCTCATTTTTTTTTTCCTTCTACTATTCCTCTGTACTGGTGGAGTGCAAACGATTTGCGATTGGAATAATAATAAAAAGAAAAAACCTCCAACTATTCATTATGCACCTCGTTTGATTGCTCAAGTCACCGTAATTTTTATTTTTCCTTTTCCGTAGAACTCAGCCTCTGACCTCTCTTACGAGCTTTTTTGATTGACTTCACGGTAATCTGCAATGACAAACAAAAATTATACAAACCATTAGTGAGATAATAAAAGAGATACTCAGCTATTTGAAATAACAGATTAAAATCATTAAGTGCCTTCCACCAACTGAATTCCTTTTTTTTTTCACGATGTGAATTACACATTTGTGGGAAATATTTTCTGGGAGTAAATGAAACTTGTGGATTTATTTCAGGTGCATATTGAAGATGTAACGGGGGTCGGAGGAGATATCTGAAATGCAAAAATGGCAAAAGGAAGTTGTGGAGAGGATGGAGAATCGTACCAGTCACATTCTGGAAATAAAAGAGACCGAAGTGAGGATATGAAAGGGCGGTGGGAGGGGCGGTAAGGGGGGGTATGTATTATGCTTAACCAAAAGCAATGTTACCAACTCGAGAACGGGCGAACTAGCCGACAGTAAAATCCATTTTATGTCTTCTGTCGTAAAGTCAGTCAAATGAACCTGAGGGACGTAGTTTTCATACGTGCAACCGTTGTACCAGCAACTTCTCTTAGTTACGTTATAGTAAATGTCCTGAATTCCTCGTCTTATATTCATACGACGAAAAACGACGAGTTAAATGTGTTTCTTTCTCTCTTAATGGTACGTACCTGGCGAAACTCGTTAAAGCCCCATGGGGAAGGGTGGAAAAAATGAGGGGTACCACTTCCACCTAAGGAGAGAGCAAGTTGAAGGCTATTTTCAATAGTTGGAATGTCATCTGATGAGTTGTGCATATTCAAGTAGCTTTTACAGGTTGAGAGGGATCGTAATATATCAGTGCTGTTGAAAATTCAATTGGACTTGGAAAATTTTGAAAACAGATCTTTTTACCATTTGTATAAAATATTTATTAGATTTTCTATTTTTACACTTTATGTGGCGCATAAAAACGTCATTCAACCACAAATGCAGATAAGTTTCATAACTAGAAAGAAAAACATTACAAAAGTGCTTAAGCGACGAGAAGGCGACAGTGAGACCGCGTGTTTGCGTAATAAGTCAATAAAAAGTTAATTTAGAGATAAATCAATAGAATCTCCTCCGAATATTTTGCATGTAATTTCCTCCGAATAATTCTTGTACGAAGAGCAGAGGAATAAAAAATAAATGGGAATATCAGGAAAGGAGGGATTTTTAACGTCGCCCGTGTCATGCATTTGTACTGTCACTCAAGCATTATCAATGCCACGCAATCGAGGGTTTGGACTCCCATGTACTTTTGCCTTCTTATTCACTTCTTTATGACCCGCTCGAGTTTCTTTCATGTTCTCCAACCGTCGTACATTTTTTTCTCTCTCCCTTTTATTACGAATATTTCTTTTCCTCTGCCCGTAAGAGGTTTTAACTATCGATCGAGGACGCTTTTAAATTTCCAGTATAAATTCAATTTGTCACGGTGGTATGAGATCATTTCACTTTATCACCTGGGATCGATCTTCGGGGGTTTCGATATCACCGGAGAAATGATAAAATATGGCGGACCAAACAACCGCAGGATATTTCGTTCCGAATAAACGCCGGATGCCTCTCGGTGATTCTCACCTCTTCTCATTGTACTGTCTTACATGCATGTCTATGTATTAGTATTTGCCACAGTACGTAATTACAAAGTCGTAAAATGCTGGAGGAATCGAGAGCCCGAGGGAGAAATGAGGGTGGATATAAAGCAAAAGGCATGCATCGGTTCACAGTTCATATTCCATTCTGCTTCATTCTCCCGTGGCCTTCTTGTGCCATGGAATCGGCCATGGGGTGCCTCATAAAATGATGATTTACAACTTCTCCGTCTGCAAAAAGACTTCTCACTCTTGGAGCTTCTTCCTCTATTCTCTCCTCTCTCTTCGCTACTATCTTAAAAATTTTTTTCTCTTCTTGTGAATATTTTTTTATTGGATATCTCCTCTTTGTCATTCGCTACAGGTATTCTTCGGGTTCATCAATATATCCCGCGACATTCTTCTCGCTGGGTTCGTAAATGTCATCGGGAGCCTCCATGATTTACTGTTTTTTTTTTCATTTTTATTATTTCTACTTTTAGACGTTTTGTCTTCCTGAATTTTTGGGATCTATTCTGGGATTGGAAAATTTAAATTGACAATGAAATTTAAATGACAATATTGAATATGAATACATATTCTTCGGAGTAGAATGACATGATTTGCATATCGTCACTGCGAGACCTAAAAATTTCCGGGAAACCGAATTATTTCTTCAATCATTTATCATTATCGGAATATAAATCTGTAAAATAATTATTCCCGCAAAATTTATTATTGAAATAATGAATAATCATTTTTCACAAAATTACAACTTACTCAGTAGAGAACGTAAAAGTTGATCTACAACTTTTCTTGTCAATTCCAAAAAAGTATTACAGGTAAATCAATACACTTGTGCTGAAATTCTCGGAAAGTGATATCACCGTGGAACCCTTGGGCGAATATTGTTTCCATGGGGAAAGTCCGCAAGCGGATCTCAAAGTTTCATAATTAATTCACGAACAAAGTAGGACCTGTCAAAGTCTCCCCGTGCAGATGGAAACAGAAAAAAAAAACGAGGAAAACGAGTGCAAATTAGTATCGAAAAAGACGGTATTCCAGGAAAAGGGTGAAAATGGGAGTTTCACCGGATTGACATTTATTGATTTCTGCATTTCCACTGCACAACGAGGGGAAGAGACTCTGTTAAAAGCCAGGAATTGATAACAGGATATCATTTCTACCCGCAAAGGTTTTACAAAAATCTCTATTCACTCTCATAATTTCCGATGAACATTCCGCGTTAAAAAAATATTTTCTGGAACAAAAAACCTATGGTATATGAATAATTAATGGAAATAATTGCTAATTGAGATGACATTGCGAGTGAAATTCGCAGAAATTCTAGACATTGCACTTTTATATTATTATTGATCACCTGAAATGCTTATTCGATTAATTAAAAAGGCCTTAAAGTGGATTTCCGCAGTGTACTTTACGCCACGAACTTATCTCCCCTTTTGGCTCAGGGAAAGGGAAAAAAATGGTCAAGTCGTATTTCATGCGAGTCCAGCTATATTTTCACGCGTATGACTTTAACTGTCGATGAGGATTTCTGCTTGTATTTCTTCTCAAGTTTTACTGTTCGCATTTGCGGTGGAAGTTGGTTCAACCCGCGGCAGTAAACGTCAGTCAGTGCTTAAAAGTTTCTCCTCTACCTCCGTATCTTCTCCCCCAGGATTTTTTTTTTCCTGTTGTCATGTTTGGCATGCCTCAACCATTGGAAACACCAATGATACACCCCACACCATTTTGCAAAAAATTGTGTCTGCAACGAGGAGTCACAACGTCTGTCTTGCATTTCATTCTATCCCATGCATCCCTCCTCGCTATTTCATTCGTCTCTTTTATTGCGAATCGACCAATCCAAATGGTGTTTTCTTCATTTACCGGTGTTTTCTTCGTCATACTGCTATAAACAAGTGGTTGTAAAATTTTCGCACTAATGGAGATAAGAAGATCCATTGGATTGATTACAGCTGGTGCATTAACATTGAATGTCTCGGCGATGCGATTTCAAATATGGCGGGGCAAAATAATTTTATGGGAGTGGAGGGGGATGGGGCAATTGCAGTGATTTTGTTTTCATCTTTATCGATGCGATTGGAGAGAAGCTACTGGATAAAATATTTCACAAATTCCCGATATCTCAATGGCATATTTTCGAAAATTTCGACTCCACAAAAATTCGTGGATGCTGCGGTATGACGTACGTCCATTAAACATTTCTTCTTTCTTAATTATTAATCTTTCTCGATGTTTAATGAACATAAATAGCGGGTTGACACCCACAGTTTCATTTCGAATGCAGAACTCTGTTTTAAACTGCCGGCCTCTCCGAAAAAATGAAGGGTATTATAGAGAGCAGACGCGGTTGCTTTTAAAAAGTTACGACGAAGTTTATGGGGGTTTAATTGTAGCCCACGTCGGTGGTTAGAAAGTACTAAAATCTCGTGGTCTTCCGCGGAGCGATGAATATTACAGGACAAAATCAAACATAAACTCGAGTCTAGATCTTTTTCATGGAAATAGAGGGGCTCCTGGAGTTATGGCGCCACTTCATTATTAACCAGATTCATAACATTGAACTGATTCCATCCTAATGTGAGTATTCGAAGACTCCATCTCCACGGAAATATTCCATTTTTTAATCTATCAAATCGGAGGTCAGTTGTAATCGTAAATTGGTGTCACAAGCCGATTAAAGTTCGATTATTTTATTTCTAAGTGGTGAAACTCAATGACTTTGATAATTTCAGAATAAAAATCAGGGAAATTCGAATAAATTATGGGATTGAAGTCAGGCTAAGTGAGTGTTTCATGATAAAAAGATGCACTTGTTAAAAAAAATTGCTAAATCGATATCCAGGAATCGCGAATGCTTCTACAGAGCAAGACAAATTTTTTTAAGACGAAATGACTTGAATTCTCGCGCGTCGAGGTCCCGCTAAAAATCCGCCTACTAGCCTGTCACATAAAAACAAATAGTTTACAGCAAGCAAATGATCAAGAGGAAAGGAAATGAAACAGTCGTCTCTTAGCTGAAAACATTAGCAAGAGAGGCATGATAAACCGTAAGAATAACCACAGGGCAAGCGTTTGAATATGAAGAAGGACAGGCGAATGGGGACGAGGGTTGGTGATTGGGATGGAGGAGGTGGAGTCGGAAAAAGATTATCCGTGCGTATATGTATGCAAGATGGTTGTAAACCGAGGAACCCCGTTTACGACGATCGTTAAATGCGCTGTAAGCGGCCTGTCTGATTACATTGATGCTGCTTACTGCAAGAATTCTGACTCTCCTTCTCACTCCAATATTCCTCCACTGTTGTGTCTGATTTTAAATGGAAATAAATATGTTCCAGGATTGATATTACTGGGAGAATGTTTAGAACTTGGTGCTATTCCTCTCATTTTTTATCATTCCCCTCGAACTCCGGAAAATTATTCACTGAATCATCATTTTGTCGTTTTTATAATTACATTAATAAATGTAATCGAAGTGTAATTTAATTTCAACGGACGATTCAATAATTTTAGTAAAGGGAACTGTCTAAATCGGTGTCATTATAGTTGTGCGAAAATATGTCACGGGATTATCATTCCTCCGTTTCACGACGCATCTTTTCGCAGTGAGGAATGAGTTTGGACGTTTGACATGTCGTAAATTCAGTTTTTTATTGTCGTCCTGGCATTATTACCGGAAGAAGATTCTTATGCGCTTCAGGTGGGAGTCGGTGTTACATTTATAAATCGTTTTCTCGCATTTTGAAAATACTTTGACGTGGGAAATTCGTTCATTGAGTGGTCCTGGTCCTTCATCAACTCCAGCAGATTGAGATTTCAAGTGACAGATCTTGGGGGATTTATTATTGGACTTGGCTGCCAAGTTTTCCAAGTTGTGAAGGTACATTGAGGACACAATCTCATTAGGAGCTGTATTGTCTCCGAGACGTTACATTTCAGTGTTGTCGAGTTATTTTAGTGATCAAATACGTAACGCATTGTGCACGTGTACACTGGGTAATTATTGTTGATGGTCATTGATTTTTTGGATCGTCTCCAAATGCATCAAGAGATGAATTTATTGAGAGGAGATCTGGCAGATGCAATGGAACATTCATTCCACGAAATATGGATTTCAGATGAGAAATAATTATTCGAATATATACCACGTACTGGAGTCGAGCAATTTCTTGAGAGTTAAATCTATCCTCGAGTCCAATAGCACAGAGTGCGGAAAGTAAGGGCGTTTTATAGGTTGAAATCTCTTTTATGTCCGAGTGAATTCGCGATTACGAGCTGCAGTGAACTATCCTATACCGAAAAGCCACTATAGATTTAAGATTCATCCTTTTCACGCTCAGACAAAAGAAGGATACCAACTTTTTACTATCTCAAAGCGAAAACTAATCCCCACTCTGTTGACGAGGGTTCTCCCAAGCCATCGCCTTCTCTCCTCGTATAATTTTCCCACCCCCTAGATTTCAAGGAATATGACTCCTAAAAACTCCTATGAAACTCCTCAAGTAGTATAACCAACATGAAGCCCTCGGAGGCGTTGGCGCTGATCATATTCACGTGGTCATCGGGTATTCTCGAAAGAAATATTAAAAACACCCATAAAACATGAAATAGTAGAGGGTGGTGGGACGAAAAATCCGGGAGAGTCCTTTGATCTTTAATCTCGCCGCCTCGAAGTCCCGAAACTCATTGACAACGACAAAAAAAAAATGGGGAAATAAAACGAGCCCTGAGAACATTTATGATTAATTCAACGAATCTCTTTCTATTGATTAAAATTCTCGTAAAAAGTGGTGACCCAAATGGTAAAGACGGTGAATTTGGTACCTGAGATGATAATAAACCGATGGCACATGGTAATTTATGATTACTGTCAGCCCAAATCAGTCAATAAAAATTAGTTATTGTGTAACTCACCTGGACTAGATGGTGGGTCCTCTGGGTGGACTCGATGGTACTCCAGCAGTGAATAGATGGGCATTTACTAAGTGAGGAATTCCTAAGTGCAGAGGAGGATGCATGACACTGCCAATGTACGGTGGTTGACCAATGTAGGTGGGTCCAGCACTTCCAGCTGTTGCGGTGTACCGTTCATTGTAGTAAACATCACTAGTAACACCCATCATTGTTCTGGCCTTCCTCACAAATATGGAACGTATCTCAGTAATGCCTGTTGATCAATGACCATCGATTATACAATTGAATATGCAATGTAAAAATGATCTATAGGCTGGAGCCATGTCCTTGAGAGTACGATGGGAGTGTTCACCAGGAGCATTCAAAATGGCTGCTAGTGAGGCGTGGTTCACTGGTTGCGCCGTCTCACTCCCTAACCCTTCCCCTTCGGTAATTAATTGACCATCTCTATTCACGTATTCGTAATTACTCGGTTCAGTTATTAGTCGGAATATCGTTTTAATGAAGGAGAAAATGTCATTGTGGAAATTAAATACATTTTCAATTTTCAGGCATCAATTCAGGGTGAACCATTTGCATCGGTTATTACTGTTTCTATCTTTGTCGGGGAGATGGACATTTTTTCAGCCATTTTTCAATGATTGCAGACTAATGAGCGGTCGCGGTGGTGACCAATTAGCGAGATTATCGAGTGTAATGCTTTATGGTATGTACAAGGTTTATGTACGCTGCAAAATTACACGGGGAATATGCACGGTTTGGGGAGACGGATTTTTCGGCTCGGGATTAAGGAGTCTTAAATTAATCGGTATCACTCGGGATGACGGTGGTGACCATTTAATTTGCATAAAATTTGGAGAGATAGCAGGTTTTTCGGGGAATTGGGGGAGAGTAGGTGGTTAAAGGATTGGGAATTCTTTTCGGAAACTTCGAGATATCGGGATTCCACATGTTATGCCCCAGATTTTGGTCAATTTCGGTATTGGTGAATATCTGGACATGTGTGACACTGGCTGCACTATTAGAAATTCATTGAATTTTCAATTATGCAAGTTTAAATGAAATTTTAATGAAAAAAGGTCAGATGGACAAAAAATTAATTCCACGAAGTTGCGTTTAATGCTCTGAATTCGTCTTTATCATTGACTTCCGCGAATTTATACTTTTGGTGATTACAATGTGGCGGAATAAAAACCGTTATTATTTCAATAGCTGAGGGGAGTATCGAGGGTGTACACCATTGTCCACCTGTACATTTGGAATTCCCTAAAATGACTCATGAATTCCGCTGTCGGATAATTCGAGGAAGACTGCAGCACAATAAAATATTAGCAATATTTTCTTGTGACACGGAATTCCGGGAACTCGGTATGGCTGGACATCTGCTCACTCCCGGTTATGAATTTTTATTGGAATATCGAATTTTTTCCCTTCTGGTGAACTGTTGGATTCAGTATATTTTTTTCAATGTGATTTGCAGAGGATTATCGGGGGAACTACATTGAATTAGAAATTTTATTCGATGAATCGAAAATAATCTGAGACTGATGCAGATCTCGGATTTTCGGTAGAAATAATTTCAGCCGACAGCTGCCAGTGACCGCGGTTTTTTTTTTTTTTAATATTTCAATTGTACTGGTTTCCGGTTTGCGCTATTACATGCCCTCCAAGAACAACGATCACAAAATCTTAAAATAACGGGCGAAATGACTTCTCGTCTTGGATTTCGGTCGAGGCTAAAGCGCAATTCATTCAGATTGAGCTGAGAAAATGGAATCTCTATTTATTTGTAGAATCGTACAAAGATATCAACGACTTTTCCGACAGTGAGCAAAGTCAATGCGAATAGTCATCTGGAGAATTGAATATTCTATGTGCATTCAGAAAAAGTTCTCTCATAGAAGTTTCACCCTTACTTTCGATGAATGACAACTGGTTATTTTTTTTTATCACGCCCCCCGTTTTACAACTGTGTCATTTCTACTTCTACCATTTCGAAATGCCCAATGTTGCACTTTGTTCGAGGGGTGGAAACTAAAACTGTCAGGTGATCCACAATTTTTTATCACCAGGTGAGTATTGCTCGGTCTATCACAAAATTTAACATGATCGGTGCTCTAGTCCACTCCGAAGAGCTCATGTATAACAGTAATAATAATAATTCATGACAACTTTTTTTATATCTGCATTGGGGTAGTAACAGCTACATGTATGCAATGAGGGAGAAATTTATTCTTCAATGGTACGTAATCCTTGTGTCAAGAAATGTTTCCAGTGGAAATGATCAAGGGATAAATATAAACAAATAAATATTATCGTAATTATAGTGCACTGGAGAATGTAACACATATGTAATATCGTGTACACAGCGGTATATGTTATGTAGCATCATATCTTATATTGAGAGCAGGTTATTATTGTTATCAATAGGGCCAGACGTTCGTGTCACGATTGTTATCAACAATCGTACTTGCACGAAGTTCCGGGCTCCGAGTATCCGTTTATCGCATTTTCCTTCGATTATGCACACTATATTTTGTAATACACTTATTACTATATAAACATAATAGAAGATAAAAAAATTATGGAAATTAGTCAATGCATTTCCAGAAAAAAATCTGTGACGAATTCGTAAAATGAAAACCATTAGAAAACCATCGACTTTAGGAAGAAAAATCAAAAAGACATTTTTATTATTTATTAAATTTCCGATAAAAAAGGCCTTTGTTATTTTCTCCTGAAGTCAATAGTTTTCGGGTTTAATCACTGCTCAACAAAATTGATTTTTTTATCCGTACGATATACTTGGATTTTATGAAAAATTATTGAAAAATTACTGAAAAATTACTGGGCCGTCAGTGATAACCCGGAATTAGCCATATTCTCGGGGAAATTCATCAAGGTTGGGTGCCAACTTTACACAAGTTTTAACGTACGTTCTATTACTTGTGCCAGACACGACAGTCGTGATCGTCTAGCCTCGGCGACATTGTAGCATTTGCAATCTCAAGGCAAAATCAAGTGCACTCACACACAACCAGAATCCGTGGATGCATTTTCATTGAAATGTATTGGTGCACGTGCCATTATTTCTATCCTTGTCAAATTGCACTGCCGACTATCATACAAAATAGCTCTCACTTACAGTCATTCTCCCTTCCTCTATTTCAACGGCTAAACTTTTCTACTGTAACAGACTCGTGTCTTGCATTACATAAGCTCGCGATAAATAGCCAACTCTTCTGACTAAATTGTACAACAAAGAAATTCCCACACGATGTTTATTATTGATATTTCGAAAGGCAGGAAGGAAACGGGACATATTGATCTATGGCTGCTTTAATCCATCCAGTGCAGATTATATTTCATTTTCTCACTGTCGTGTTATCAAATCGTCCGTTCGTTTTCTATTCTCCTAATGTCTTAATATTTTTGATAGCTGTTTCTGGTTTCCTTTATCGGTTGTTCTTTATCGCTGGATGATATTCACAACCGTAATTGTAGATTATTCCACGGAATCAATCGTTCTACTATTGATAAGATCAACTGGCGAGGAGATATTTCACTTGTACTTACAAATTATTTATTGTTTGAATTATAAACAATTCAATGTTGAACAAATCAACAGGAAAGTTCAGTGAGACTGGCGACAATATATCCGAAAATGTTTTTCAAAAATTTTTAAAAATCATCTCCCAATTGATTTCGGTCGTCAGTGGAAATTGTTCGAGTCACGAATCGGAAATATTTTCTCTCAGCCCAGAGTGAAATTGATTGAAATAGCCTCACGGGAAATTTCTCACTATTTTTCTAGGTCTCTTCCCATCAATAAATCTACAGAGTGGTCAAAGATCAAGTATTTATATTACGGACAATAGTGGCCCGTGTTGACATGCTCGAGGCGAACTGACAAACGTGGAATAAGTACAACCATTGATCTACATTTCACTGAGGTAAGTGCTAGAAACGTAATTACTCTACTTGACATTTTCGTATTTGTGTTGTAAAGTGGTGGTACACTGTTTAAGATTTCTTGAAACTTCCGCCAGAATGTAATTTAAATTAACAATTTAGATCATTCAAGCGAGAATCAATTCTATTTCAAATGAAAACATTCATTGAATTATCATTCTCATTAAGCTTGAATTTTCTGAGTCATCGTGATAATTAAACGACAAGTACAATTGAATTTTTGAAAGACCTGAGGTATTGTTTAATTAATTTGGAATCATCTGTGTTCAGCGGTTCATTCAAATCGTCTGATGTGTAATAGAGTAGCAGATAGTATTATTATGTACGCAGACGGTTGATTTTCGAAGATCGATAAAAGAATGGGATACACTTTGACTGTAATTTAGTCACGCAAAAGATAGTTTGGAACGTTGCGGTGACAGACGAGAGTGGTAATTTCCGAAATTGCTTTTCAACGGTGGAGAGTTCTTCTGAATAATTACTACAATTTTTGGCACCAAAAGAGAATCGAATTATAAGCATGTAACGGTGCGATCTACCGATTCATTCATTCGGATTTTGGATATCAGTTCGTTGGATTTGATTAATTGATATTATACACTCAATGGCCTCTAATTGACTTACAATAATCAAGTACCGAGAGTAAATGGATCTAAATTTTCCGGTCACTTACTCCCCCATTCATCGCTCGTGTCGGAATCTCCACGGGAATCTGAATCGGATAAAATTAAATTATGGATTTATCCTTGGAATTCAATCGTTGATAAAATGTGGAGGAATAAAAATTGTAAATACGAAAGAAGAAATGATGGAATTGTTGTGTGTATGACGCCCTAAAATATGTAATTACCTTGTGTACTCTGGAATCATTCTGAGAGCTAGGCCTCGGACTTACGATCATCGGACATTAGAATCTTCACTGGCGAATTCGTTAATTTTCAGTAATTAAAACCCAACGCGAGTCGCAATGTCAAATAATTCGATAATCATTGAATAATTCAATATAAAAAACAACGAAGTGAAAATCTTCAATGCAGTCATCATCTTCCGGTCAATCTATCTTCATGGATCTTCAATGATGTCCTCAGCTCTCTCGTCAACCAGTGGAAATGAATTTTCAAAAATTGCCATCGCATAAATTACGAATAAAAATTCGAACAATGGATTCTACTGCAAAAATATCAATTTCTCAGTGGAAAATTAAATACGAAATTAATAATCGATCCGATTCGATCCATGGAAGATTTTATATCACCATCATGGAAAACTTTAACGTCACGCGGAATGTATCCACAGCTACAAAGAGGAAAAATAATAAATTATGAGATATAAGGAAAATGTCACCATGTCCGTCAGTTTCGCTGTCCTGTCCAGCAGACAATGAATTTATCATTTGAATAGATTAAAACTTAATCTTTCAAGCGCTAGACCGAAGGACAAAAATTGATTTTCAATTTACAACAAAAAATTTTGAGTACACAAATATTCGCATTAAAAAAAATTATTTGCAGAAATGGCAGTGGATGATTTCAAGAACTTGTGGATTAACTCTTATTTCTTATAATTATATTCAATAACAAGATAATTTATCAATCATTTACTCCATCATGATTTCTTTATTGACTAATACCGCGGCTGATGTTGTAAACTAAAATCGTGAATGACGACTTTTTTTCTTGTTTTAATGTGCATTCCAGTACTATAGGGACTGTAAACATGACCAAGCAACTATCTCACGTTATCAAGCCGCTAGAAAAGTTGTGCCATTTTGTGAATAAATAAATAAATCTGTTACCTTCGGCTATGCGTCTCCTCGCTTCGTCGAGATCTGACTTAGCGTCTTTTAGTATGACGTACATAAGCGGTAATATTTCCGACGTATACCAAAATTGGTCGAGCAATTTAGCACTGTACTCCAGCAACATGTCATCACCTGGAACCACAAGATAAATGCGATGCATCAGTACAAGCGAATCAATTATAAATATTCCTTGAACAAAAAATTGTTATAATCTCAAAACCGTGACGCGTGCACCATAAAAAAGGAAATTACTTTAAAAATTTCGTCCATTCGTATTTGTTGTTGATTCGTATTGTTTAAAAAATGAGACTCTCATTACGAGAAAATTATACTTGTAAATTACCACTTGTGATGAATTTTTCAATGACTTGAGGAATTTATTGTCGTCGAGGTGGCGAGTTTTTTTAATTTCGTTATTATTCTGGAATTAAAATGTAGTAAATTTTTAATAATCCATTAAAACGTAAACCGATGGAACTATCTCCTCAATCAATCTCTATTACTGCACCTACTGCACCTACTGCCACTTCCGAGAGTCTAGTCAATAAGAAAGAACTCAATCAATCAATCTCAATTAATTTTTAACATTGATTTCATCCAAGTGGTCATTCGCTGCATGGAAAAATGATTATGGAGCCCTCATAAATGACTCGAACGTGTGACACTATGATAGCTATTGATTTGACGATGACAGGGAAAAATGGCACAAACTGTAAAACACCCCCCAATACCGGACAATAGTTTCCATTCCGCAACAGCATGATATATTAGACATTCCGTTAACCAATGCGGTTGCATAGCGTTGTCGCGACTCCGCCCACAAAAAGCCTCCAGACCGTTTTTGGAACGTGAATGGTATTCTCAACTAGACAGAGACCATTGCAGGTGGCACAGGCGCATCGAGACACCGGACGTGCTCTACTTTTATGCACAATGATACATTAATTATACCCTCGTTAATTTCAAATCGCTTTCAAATCGCTTTCAAATTATCCCAACTGGACGATTTTTCATTCACAGGAGAGCGAAAAATTTTCGCCGGATGGCAGAATGCATATACCCCTGATGATTAATATTCTTATAAAATTATTCTTATTAAGATTTTTTGGAAATCATTTAATTGTTGTCAATAAAAATTATGATAATCGCTCAACTTATTGGAATTTTTTTTTTCGAAACAAGTGATTGCACTCGAAGTAACGACCTAGAAGAGAAAACAGATTGACATGAAGTTTCGTTACTCAATGACATGCAAAGGAAATGATTCCGCTTCGATAGCATCGACAATGATGACGTTTATTGAAATTACACCGCTTTCTATTGCCCCCAAATTATTGTCATTTGATGAATTATTGATGGCATCCACTCATCACAATGAAAATAACATCTTATTCCGCATGATCAGCATTGTTTGCAACATTGCATTAGGTAATATCTTCATTACTCAGTTTCCTGTTGATGAAGGGAAAAATAAAAGACCGATGACTTCTTTCTTTACGCACTGACAAACGCTGGACAATTAAAAGATAGTCTTTTCCCGTCATTTGTCAGAATAATGCACATCCGCGCGATCATTTGTCCGTTATCAAGTGACCTGAGAACATTGTGGGAATATGAGAACTATCTTTTACTTGGGGCGGTGAATAAAGATATTTAATCGCATTCATTCGACGTCGATCGGTCATTCTCGGAGTTGAGTGATAGCACAATCATTTGTGTAACATTCGATGTATCGTTTCCTCGGGGTGTGAATGAATCCAGTGATTCAGAGATATTAGATGTTTATTATAACTTTTATAACTCATGGTTCCCTTTGATGATGAGTGTCTACCTGAAACCGTTCCGTTCTCACTTTCTCAGGGGTTTGTGTTCTCAGAAAATAATTTGTCAATCATCTGGAAGAATGAGCGGCTCTCAACTTCAGAACATGCACAACCACTTAAAAATTGAATTACTACTTCAGTTTTTTATTCAATCACACATTTGTTAATTTAATTGGATGAAGGAAATTAATTTTTCAGTGGAAATTAATGGCAGACGATATTGGGCCAGAAATTTCCGGAGAATTCGAACAGTGTAGATGGGTAACGGTTATTTACTCCAGGTGAAAAGTGAGAATACTCAAGAGGGTAGAGATTACAAACGATTTTTTTGGGGGTTGAATGAGCCCTTTGTTTCACCCATGTGCCCATCTAGCGGGCACTCGTCATCCCGAGTTCATGTGTTCTGCAGAAATTCCCACTGGCCTATGGCTATATCCGCGAATATTCGCGTTGCTGAGAGAGAGGAATAGAATAAATACGGATGACCATCGAATAACGCAGACACAAGGCACGCGAGAAATGGTAAGGGGTTGTAGAGAGGTAGCTTTGTACCGATGATACCGTTGTTGTTCGTAATTGAATCTCCCCGTGTCAGATGAGAACTCGAAATTTTACCTGCACGCGGGAATACCAAATCGATAATGTCATGGCGTGAAAAAAAATGGGGAAAACCAGGTGAGACTCGTGGTTTTGAATAATTTTTCTCCGAGGGTGATCCAATGATATAAAAAATTGAAGATTTATTCTTCATGTATTTCCCTCGATCGATATCCGTATATCGATTCAGTAAAATAGTAACGTGGATGACCTGTTTTAAAATTGACTTTAAAAGTGTGAGAAAATAAATCCAATCCGAGAGATAATAAAAAAGTATCTGAAAATATTTTTTTCTTTCAATTTTAAGTTTTGAAATTTTTTTCTAGATAATTAAAAAAAATTACTTTTCGTAGAATTCGCGGTAGATGTCATGAATGACTAATTAATGATTTTGAATGACTGTGCGTCCGTCTCATGCGACGGGAAAAAGCGCTACTATATTTTACCCGACAGAAAAATAAATTTGAAAAATATATTTGATATTTTCTCGTGGAGTAGTCGGCGATCCCAGCTGTTGACAGGAGCCCCACATCAAAGTTCGCCGGTGAAAAATAGCAAAAGAAAATTCATCAGAAAAGAGATGTAAATTTTGTCTGTTAAAATCTCGAGTAAGATAAAAAAAAAAAATGGGCACGGACCTTGTCAAACGGGTCCCAAGTAAAGAAAGGCTTTACGAGGGCTTTACTATACGGCATTTCGGAAGCGGTAAAATTCCTGTCAACTGTTGTCGTAAAATTCCCCTTCAGTCCTCGACGTCTTTCCAAACCTCTCCATCCCTTTTTTGGAGGACAATAAAATTCGGTGAGTGCATACAAAAAGCGAGATGAAAATGTCAGAGGAAAATGTACCTATGGAGTATATATTTAGCAACACTCCCACGCCGATATTTAAATGATCGACAAAATATGGTGCAATTGCTTAAAGAAGACGAAGTCACGTGCAGATCTGGTCTAAATGATCTTCATATTTATCCAGGGATTGATTATCCCACCGAGATGTAATGTTGCTGTACAAATTGAGTGGTCACGTTTTTCTGTTCGATCTTGTCATTTCTCCGTGATGAAGAAAGTGAGGAAGTGAAAAGAGAACGAGGGAGAATGGCAGATCGTTTAACAGAAGATATCGTAAAAGTCACGTGGTCGAACTCGCTAGACTGTGACCATACGATTTTTATTACCCTCAACCACCCCGTGGAGAAACCCCTCATACTCGTCACGATTCCAGACGAACTGTCGAATTCAGTAGCAAAACTGTAGAGGGTGATAAGTCCATTTGTTTCCCGAACTGAATTATCCACGAAATCGATTCTACGGAGTAGAATATCTAGCAAAACACCTGTAAATTATTCAATAAAAAATAAACAATCTCTGGATTTTCTTTCCAGTGAAACGCGAAGTGAGTCATAAATTTCACTCTCAGCTGTAACTGGGAAATGAATGGGTATCTATCTTCATTCCTCATCATCATTACTTTCCATATTAATTTTATTGAAGGAGGAATTCCCGGGATTTTTACTCGAGCGAGTCCAGTAATTTTTTAATTGGCGGCCAATCTACATGGTTGTGAAAGGATGGGGAATAATCACTATTGATCGACTCATCATTCTTTACCTGTTGACTTCTGAACTGCTCCTCGAAAACTCGAGAAATTAAAAAAATCCACAAAACCTGTTTCCAGGAAACGATTAAACAGGTGAACGAAATGAGAGAATAGACTCGCCGCGGGTAATTCCCGAAGGGTTGAGATGGTCAGGTTATTATTCTCACGCGATGTAATAATGTACAATTACTGCAATAGTCAAAATGACAACGAAAAAAGGGAATATCATTGTCGTAAGCAGTTCAAGCTGGAGTTTTACGACGTGTGTGGTGAAACTTCTGTTCATGCATGACTCGAGATCAACCCCGACCTTTTGAACTGGCATTTTAACTTAATCTCGTCATCGTCGTTATGACGCAAATCACAAGACTATACGAGGTACCCCGCGCATACCTGGAAACGCTATGATTTAATGACCATCGAATTTTAAGGAATTGCCTAGAGGCATATTTTGATTGAAGGGTAGCGAACAAACATCTTGGGGTATAAGTAGACATAAATGGAAATCAATCTGCCATGTTAAAATTACGGGACAGTGCTTTAATTTATGTTTATCCCTCTTAGCAACCCCACGATGATATTCAAGCCTTTCATATTTAACGCGTGGAAATTCATTGAAAATTCATCAACAATCGTTGAAATATGGGATGCACGGTTGGGAAGCAATGAGTCAAATCTTTTTTCATCAATGGAGACTCCACTCAAACCCACTAACATTCATTTTAAAATGATGAAAAAGATTAACCGATGTGTTTAATGGCGGCGTGAAACCATTTTTTTTTCCTTGTAACACGAGTTGGGGCCCGTCATATTGTGAGAACCTTCTGTTATCGAGGGTTTTTCTCGAGAGGTCGTAAAAGACAACCCCACGTCGCCACGCGTCTCATGTAGCGTAGGGTACGTCGAACTTTGCGGTCATAAGATTGTCTAAAAAATCCAGGAATTTCTCTCAAGTGGTCCAAGGTCAAGGCATTGAGGGTTCAAAGCCATGCGTGACCTATGTCAACTGATTTATGAACTACCGCTGAACAAGTCATTGTTTTTGATGACTGAAATGAAAATGACGCACGCGTGCAGATACGACTCTTTAACTCCGTAAATTAGTATCTAAAAAAATTGAATTATTCGTGGAATTTCAGGAAAATAAATTAGACTTTTTTCAGTGCTGAAATTTTTGTCTGTTTATACTTTAATAATAAATAGTTCATGTTGTAAATAGTCGGTTAGAATGAAAATCGATGGGAACACGCTAGTCAAACGAGATACCATCATCCAGGAATGGGAAACGGATTTATGGAGTAATTGTTTATACCCTTGAACGTTATATTTCGTTGAGTTCATATACAATATTATCAACACCAGATGATTGTTCAAACTGCAATCGCAAATGCAGCCAAGATTCATCGCCATTTGTTTAATTAAAAATGAGGTAATTAACAGCGAAAAATAATAAATAGAAAGAGAATTGTATATGACTGCGAACTACCCCCGAACCACTCGCTCCAATAATGAAATCATAATTTCTCGACTTGTAATATTTTTCGGGCTATTTCCGCGAAGAAATAAATTTACATCATAAATTCTTGTCTTGTAATATTTTTTTGAAATATATTGAGGGGTAATATCCTTATTGAATAAAATTTAGGGTGTTCGTTTGAATCGCTCGGGAGCTGAAAATGCACAGACAAAAGGTAAAATAAAGTAGCCCTTGATAGCCACCGATTATACGATTATCCAACCCTCTCCGGATGTGAGAGTTTCGCCGTCATAATGAGCGGTACGAGTGATAGGTTATTAAAACGCCACCGGCCGATGGTTCGAAATGCAAACCTCGTAAAACAAGACTTTACAACCCCCATACTCTCATAATAATCACTTTCATACCGTGTCCCCGCCTAAAAGCCCTTTCTCGGTCATTATACCGTGCGTTAGTCCCAAGGCGACCCTCAAAATTTTTTCCCTCAATTTTTTCAATTGGTCCGAATAAATAAAAAATTCACCAATTGGAAAATCACCGGCACTCGTTGATTTTCGGTGAAACCCAAGCGTTTTCCGCATAATGGGAAAGAGGTAAATCCGGAAATCCATAAATTCGTCCGGCAACAGTAAAAATCGTTATACTACTGACTGGTGATACTAAAACAAGTATATCTACACATGTGCAGTGGAAAAGAAACGAGAGAAAACTATTTCACGAGAAACCGAGCAAAATAACGATAACTTTTTAAAACGTGCGGGCCGCTCGTAAAAGCACCAAGCCCAGGAGAAAAGGAAGAGAGGAGAGACATTTGTGTTAGAGTGAGTGAGCTCCTAGGTTTCGGCTTTGGTTATAAGTCCGTATTATATTAGCCGGGTACGAATGGCCCTGCAACCAATAGGAACGATCGTAAAATTCACAGGGGAACTCGACATTCGGCCGTGACTGTCAAGTGAAAGAGTCGCTTGGATTTTTCAACGTGCAGTTGTGCCCGAATTTTGAAATATTATCTCCAACTACCTCCAACATTTATAAATACCGGTGTAATTATTCATAACTAGACTTTATTTTAATTGTGGGATCATGTCCCACCTCGGACTCAGCCTCCGGATTTTTTTCATTTGCTCATTACTTTTATTCCACTTATATTTCGTTAAGGATCACTGGGGAGATTAAAAATGGAATAGAATTTAAATTTTTGTGAATGAGAAATTCGGAAAAAAATATGTGAAAATTCAGGGACAGTCGGATGGAGTAATAAATCCTGAAATAATTCCTGTCGTTTCATAATCATGTTCATTCGATATCTCACGTGTGAAAATGAAAAGTCGAGATAAAAACTAGTGATACGGGAGGAAAAGCTCAATGATGATAAGGATAAGCGATTTGTCGAGGATAAACATGAGCAATAACGCAAGCAATACGCGATTTACAACTTCTGCGTTTGACGAGTCAGAAATCGCGTGCATCTTTGCAACACCAACTTCACGTGACTCATTGACCAAACACAATTGAGGGTTAGAGGCTAAGTAATATCGATATCTCCATTAGTAGGTATTTACTAGCTGTATTCATTGCAGAGGACAATTATCACAACGTTGTGCGATAATTTCGTACACCAAGAGAAAAAATATCACAGAAATCACTCCACTAGCGAAACGTAATAAATCGATTTTTACCGCAGGCCAGTTTTTAACGAAAATCTCGAAACCTAAAGAAGATAGAGAAATTTTCGTCATGACCTTTTTTGTAGAGCCTACCAAAATCTTCAAAAAAGATATCTAACAAAATTCGGTATCTCCCTCGATTTCGGAAATATCGAAGGCGCAACGTATTAGATCCACAGCCGATGTTGACGATCTCTCAATTCATTTTGAATAATCAGACAATTACAATATCTCGTTGCAGGAATTTTGATCGAGTTAATTCTGCATTAAAGATTACGCGAGACAGAAGGATATTTGTCAGTTAACTGGACAGTAAAGTATATCTGAATGGAGTGAAGTTTCTGTTTTTAATTCACTGGAGAATATTTCGAGGCTCAATGTCGCTCTTTGTTCGGATGAATTGAGGTCTCACTATCGTTAGTGCGTTATTTATTCCTGGCAATTATTGTGAAGTTATTATCTAGCGTCTTGAGAATATCGTTTGTGCTCTCGGGTTTTCACTGTGGTGATGAAAAAAAAAAACCCAACCACGAGCACACGGCTACATTATGCTCGCTCTGTGTCTCTTCTGCAGACCTTTTGTACTTTATCCCGCAGAAATATCGAGTTTTGTGCATTGCGTTGAGGCTGTGGTGAGCTTCTCACGGCAAAGCCGATGGCATTCAGTCATTAAATTTAACGGAAATGTTTTAGAGACGAGAGAATTTGCCAAGCTTTTGATGAAGATAAAACGGGAAAAGCAGATGAAGAAAATCCCCAGAGAAATATTAATGTAAAACATCAAGTCTTCGTTACGCCTCTAGCTTTTCAGGTCTTCGCGATTTTTCGTGTAGAAAATTATAACCAGAGAATAAATCGCAAGATATAGACCAAACTCCGAAAAAGTGCTTTGCATTCAATATTAATGTTGATATTATATTTGATTAATCACATGTGAAAAAAAAAGTACTTTCCAACGCGTACCATTACAATTCTCACACCGTAAAAAGTACTTTTTTCTATTTGTATTGTAATGTAATATTATTTAAATATTCATTGTCATTATACTTGACTCACAACTCCTCGGCTCAGATAATTGTGTATCCGAAGTCGAGTGACTGCTGAAGGACGGTGGTAGTTTGCAGGATGGTGGAATAGTGAAAATGCCACTATGAGGACCCGTGCTACCTTGATTACTGAAGGGTGAATCCGCACTGATACTGTCACAGCTATTTTCTAGGCTACGGGCAGGCTGTGGCACGGATATCGGAAGCTCCCCATCCAGGGCTATGGGTAGTGCTCTGATCTGCTGGAGAAATACATTCATCAATTCAAATGGCGGATATCTCGCCCCAAAACATAATCCCACCCCCACTCAATCAATAGTAACATCCAATTCCATTGCCAACTGGCTGAACCAACATTATTTTTCATTAAAAATTCATCAAAGAAATTAATTACAAAACAAATTATTCCTCCAGCCATTTAGAATTCACTCTTTCCTTCTTCCGACAGCCAAGATAATTCATAGACCTATTTAATGTGGAGACTAATTTTAATATTTGGTAAATGTTTTCATTCCCCAAGGAACTAAGAAAAAATAACCTCTCCAGGCTGCAGCGGCCTCGTTGCATCCTGATCCTGTGCCCTCCTTAGGGCTGTCTGTTTCGCCATCACCCTCTGTCGATCCTTGGTAAGGATACACTTGTCACATGTACACGATCGGTATCGGCAAAATCTCTTGTGTCCCTTGACGGCTTGTTTCAACCGATGATTACGACAACGCGCACAATTTGGTGGTGTACGTGGTATCACCACAGCACTTTTCATAACAACCGATTTACTCTCAGCACCAGCCACTACTGCCTCCTTATCTTGATTCATTTTAATTTTTTTAACACTCCAACTGATTAACGAGACTAGTTTATTGAATAGACACCACTGATAATTCAATGTACTTGATTAATTGTTCACTCCGCGCCTCACGCACTTCTCCTTCGATCTCGCTGAAAAATAAAATTAAACAATGATATTGAATATTTATTTAAGCTTGGGGTAGTGAAAGGCTGATATATTTTTTAGATTATATTCGTTGCGGATGGAGTAAATACCGAGTAAAAATGAATGCATTCAATATGAAAAAGAATTGGCTTGTTATCTTGCAGGTGCTACCAGCCTTGCGTTTTTTCAAACCAACTCAACATTATATTGGACAATAATGTATGGTCGACTAATGATACCTCTAGACTACCGATATTTCGAGTATTGATCATTTTTGAATAGCTGGAAACGTCTGCTAGATGGTTTTTTAAAAATTCAACAACCACTACCTCTGCATTACCGATTCCCAGTGAATGTAGAACCGTTCGTCAATTCGATTTGTACATGAGTGGACAGAGATAATAAGGCGCATTAATATTTGAGTGAACGGGTAGACAACTTGCGACAATATTATATGAAAAGCAACATTGTGGTAGAGTGTCTTGACAAAATGGAGATTGATTCTGCGAGAATCGAATCGATCGGAATTCAAAGGTGAAGCCAGCGTAACCACCGGTTTATGTATTATGGATCATTTTTGTCGGTACTACTGTTTTTAAAACTTTGAACAACTTTGAGTCTCTAGTACTGGCTTTTCACTCGTTCTACTCACACCTCGAGGGTCACATATGCTCTCTAAAGCTACTAGAAGGTAGGTGGATTGAAAATTCCGCTAATATGAAAAGGTCAAACCGATTTCGTTTAAAGGAATTTCGATATCCCCCGAGAAAATCTCCACCGTTATGACTCAATTAATCTCAGAATTTATTATTCTCTACGACTAAAATTTTTCCAATAATACTAATTTTCGATCAAATTGAAAGGAGATAATTTGAAAATGAGGCCTTCATCAAATCCACGCATCCATGAAAACATTGTATCCCGTTGCGTTCTCCAGAAACCGGTTGAACCAAAGAAGATGCAGAAGACAAATGCAGAAGGTGAAAAAAATAAATCGAAAAAACGTGTGGAAATAACATTAGCATGCTGAGGACACATTCCCATGGATCACTCCTGGTGTTTTACACGCATGTTCGCTGACAAATAATTTCCTGCGAGCAACATTGTATCGTTACAGTGTATGTCGATCGATTTAATCAATTCTACCACTAATCATGTCGGGTTATATCAACTATTTATTATCACTTTATGCAACAGCGATGGAAAAAAAGTATATCATGAGCGTTGGAGATGGTCTTGAATTAATCGTAAACCGTGATATCTCCTAATTGTGCTCCAAGCTCAAGAACCGTGTAACCATCACGAATGTACGAATTTCTCGCTCTCTCTTACGTTCCGCGTATTTACCAAGTTGTTTTCGTTTATCGCGATTTCCTTCTCGTTGTTTTTCGCGGATTCCCTTCACCCTCCCTTTCACCCCCTGAGTCAGAGGAATAATCATTGAATCTTAGACTCATTATCCTCCCGCAATTGTATTGCTCTTCGTGTTTGAATTAGAATTAATCGTGTGGGCTAATCTCTTGTCATAGTGGTTAGAAATGATAAATCCTCTTTGACCTATCCCCTCGATTTTTTTTCGAAGAAAAAAATAGATGTGTGAACGAAATTCAATTTTTTGGAATCAAGAGAGTACTTTAAAGGAAAAATTTTTATCAACTACATTTTGTAAGGGCGAAGAAATTATTTGACCACAGTATGACTTGCGGAAGTATTTGAATGCATTTACTGCTGGGCAGTATATGGACTTGGCGAATGAATTTTTATATATATATTCTTATTTTTTTTTTAATTGCTCATTCGGAAATGAAGAAATGAAAATTTCAGAGTTGACGATTACAATTCCTCCGGTGGAAAAATCGATAGCGTATGAAGTTGATACCGAAAAATTATCGGTTTTGTATCGACAAGAAATTTTTACCTTACCTGAGAAAAATCCAGTGAAAAATTCAGGAATCCAACAGTTTATTGCTAGTGATCCCACGATGATGTCTCAATACCGATCAACCAAATCGTCGATCGGCAATTCGTACCGATAGGCCCGCGCCCCCGTCAACCCCGCCGCATCTCGTTGCAATGATAACAAAAAAAAAAAGAAAAAAAATACAGGATAAGCCACGTGCAGAAGAACTTCGGCGCAGTGAGAATTGGCGTTCGCGCCTATCACGTGGAACACGCACGGATAAACCAAGCAGGAAGTGAACGCCCCCGGAAGTTAAGGTCCAGCCCCCCCGGTTACCACTTTACATGCGCATACACTATTTTCAGCAACCAGGTCTCCTTCAATTGTTGAATTGTGCGCTATCAAAAATTGCACTCTGGAATTTCTACCGAGGCTGCACCTGAATACCGAAAAGTAAAGAAATCGGTGACAATCGATACGAGTGGCAAGTGGTAACAGCTCGCAGCTATTGCTGCAAAGCAACACACATGGTATCACATTGATTTAACAATGTTGTGATAATCACATCGAAGAATAGTCCAACATTGAAGAATAATCACGATTTTTTTGGTAATTGTGGGCACAAGTGTCACTGGCACGTGGATTTTGAGAGATTCATGTGAATCGGTTGTTTGGTAAATGTTATTTTAACGCGTAGAACCTCACCAGTGTGCAGTCGGTAACTCACTGAGAGGAATGCCACATCGATGGAGTGCATGTGGCAAAAGTGGAGTGTGTGGTGGTGGAGGTGAACGGTGGGGGATGGATGGAGTGTCGGCGGGCCGGGGTCGGCCCGAGGGGAACTGACCGAGGGTGGGGTTTACTCTGCCACTACTATTGCGGCAAAGGTATTGCCCCGAAATCGGTTGGAGGGGGTTGAATCTTCCACGAGGGTGAAATACACTTTGAGTTTTACGACTCGCTCCAGACGACCATCAACGACTATTTTCTGGATTATTTTTATTCACCTTCGGTTCGCTCTTTTGTTTAAACTTTTTCATTTTTTACGTTTTTACCTCGGGTACTGTACTGTGCTGAAATCGGGGAAATGAATTTCATCACTTTCGACAGGGAATCGTTTTTCAACAAGAAATCGCCAATAACATTTCCTACTTTTACATGGCTCTCTGACGTCGATTACAGTTTAAACAATAGCAGATGTTATATACACGTCTTCAGCGGTCTCAGATTAGGAAATATATACAGTTTATAATAGGGAACGAGATCAATCGGTCTGAGAGACTGGGACCTAGTCTTTGTGGGAATTGTTGTTTCTATATTTTTTAGGGATAATTGTCTTGAAAAATTGGAATGCATGGAAATATGATCCGGGTGAGGGAAAAGTGAGAGAAATGGTTTTTGTCTCCAATATTTTGATGACGGAGCTGGGAAAATGAGTCACACTGAGAGAATAAAATTTTTATGCCACTCATGCTTCATTTAACATGAAACGACACGTCGGATAATCTGAATATTCTGAAGAAGGGAGGCTGCTCGTAAAACTCAAGGAATTATGCCCCAAATTTTCTTGGAAATTTTATTCACCAAAAGAGAAAATTTTAGTCCAAAGTTCAAACGTATTTTTTTATATCAAATATATTCCTGCGAACATGCAGACTAGTTTTGTTTATTATAACGAATCCATTGAATTGACGATAAAATTACACTTTAGCAATTATTCTATTTAATTATTTAATTTTTATAAATGCTTCGTAAAAAGTTATAATTATTCCCATTGATGAATCAAATGAAAAATTAAAATTTATTCAATACACGAAATTTGAAAAATCATTCCAGAAAATACTGGAATACCAAAAAATGATGAATAAAAAAACTAATATTTTTTTATGGGGGGTGAGTTGAGAGGATGAACGAGTGGTGGAAAAATAAATGTACGAAGGAGAAATGGTGATCGGATTTTGGAGAGCAGTAAAGTATCTCACTCACGAACAATTTTATGTACCTTGAAACCGACCCCCGTCTTGGACGGTAGTTAACCAAAATCCGTCGTCGGCTTTTTGGATTTAAGGAAATAAAATCTGGTGAATCGTGCGATGAAGTTTCAACTCAACGTTATATATACGAAATTGAGGAAAATACTTGAATCGTACTTGTGCGTGTGGGTTATACCCGTGATAGTGACGACTATTCGACGTCTAGTCGGAAGTTTCTTCAAGTGTGTTGGACTCATCTGCTGAGGCAAAAGAGGGATGAGAGCCGATCGTAAAACGCTACGGCGAGAGTGGATTTGCGAATAGTCAGCCCCTGAGTTTCTTCCAGAAATATATACGCTCACTTGGCAAAATCACGAGGTCACATTTTCCAGATGTCATGATTCTTCAACTGATTGAAATTTAATTAATCGATGAAATTAAATTCAATCTGCCGCAATCTGCCCCTTAAATTCAGAGAAACGATTGAAATGACGAAACTGTAAGTAAAAAAATTGAGCGCCACACTGAGAAAATTTTTTTTTTGCCAAATCCATTTACTTTCCACCCCTCAAAAACACCTGAGGATCCGGTGAAAGCTCAGGGGATGATGCAGAAAAAAAAATATTTCGAGTATTTCGTGCTCTATGTATCCGTGACCTACCCCAACAAAATGAACTTTCTGGCGGAAGTCGCGATTCAAATGCGCGGGAACAAAAAGCTCTGAATTCTCACATCACTATCACACCCATTCAATGATAATTCGTTCATTTTGTTACCGATACAAAGAGTAACCCAATATATATGTTCTCCTCACACATGTGTCTTTTATTCGCCTTGTGTGTCAATCAGACGTACAACCACTGGCATTAGCTCATGCCACTCATGTATTCAAACATTGTATACAATTCGGTCTATGTATTGGTAAAGTTATTTGCGAACTTAACAGTCAGGAGTGGGCGCTGGCCTCTTGATGAGACTATTAAAATACATGTGTCACTGATTTGGGGGATATAAAGCCGTTCTCCTCGCCGCGAAAGTAAACACTCGATTTCCAAGTCTTTGCGGTCCCACGTCAACTCGGAATTTTATTTATTTCCATAGATAAACTCGTGAATGAAATTAAAATAAATAGGGAATTGCTCCGATTTCTTCTCTCAAATAATTCTACACAATCCACTATTCAGTATTCCTAAAACAACAACTGACACTTGACGCCTCATAAATTTATTCTTGTCAAATAAATAACCATAAATACAACAGCGTTCACACAATAGCTTCTTTCAAAATTTCTCTCGATTTTCAACCGCTAATATTTTCCTCGAGGTCTTTTGTTCTATTAACAATCAAAATTCTCGAAGCCGCGGGTTTATCATAACCGACACATTTTTTTTTATCGATTTTCGTCGATTCCTGGGTTTTTATGGGCCAACGGTTGGACTAAATTACCACCGAGTTTGCAAAAATGGTGCTAAGGGGTTGCAAGGGGTGACAAGTACGAGACGAGGCCAAAAGGCAATAACCGGGAGAGACTGTACGATAAAACTAGGTTTACTACCCGGTTACTGCTTCTACCTTTGAAATGTCTACCAGGTCGCCTTCTTCACTTCCACGATTTCATTCTTTCCTGTCTTTTGCAATTTCATCTACCGTCAATGTCCTAGTTATCACCCCTTTAACCGTTTCTTCTGAAGATCAGACAGAATATTTGGTCTATGAGAGCCTTCGCCAATTTTTCCTTCGTCTATTTGGAAATAGAATAAATAATTTTTCAATACACATGTGAAAATTCCGAAAAATATTAACTTAAATATTGACTGAAATGAAATTATATAGAACCTTTTCGCGTTGCTCTCAGCAACTCAATCCCTGGGCACATCAATTCACGGACTATTTATTTACATACCTTCAAGTCCTCAGAGTTCTCCCCATCAGTAATTGATCCCGTGATTACAATCACATCGTGGTAGACTAAACAGGTCACAACGTGATATAAAGTAAAACAAATAAATGTAAACCTTGTGAATTTTTAAGTGCGGCAAACCTTGGGGGGAACTTGCAGACTTGTCCGTCAAAACTTTCAAACTTGAGAACTGCCAGAGAGTTTTGTAATGAGCGAGAGAATTTTTTAATTAAAAAATTTGAAATTGGAATCGAGTTCTCATTAGAGTATTACATGGCTTTTCATTTTCCTCTATAATTTTTCTAATTGGTGCGTGCATGTCCACTGGTATTTATCCTCTACTAAGTACGTGTGTAATTTACGATAAATTGATCGTGCATATGGTGTTTTTTCTATGGTTCATCTTCTGGGCACTGGATAATGGTGTGGTATCGGAGTATTTTTATGTGTGCTAATGTCATCGCGTGCCATTCAAGGCCCAGTGTTGCCGAATTCAAATTATATGCCTCCAGCACGACCTAGGCAACATTGCAAAACGAGTTCCATTTAAATAAAAACAAAAATTATTTTCTCGAATAATTTTTGATTCTGGAAAATTTTCCAAATGACAACCAAATTTCCATCTGAATTTTCAATTCGATCTTCAAGAAGTTGCAATTTTTTCAATGAGAATTTTCGTGGCACTTCGGGATTATGGGAAATTGAAAGCTTTATCAATTAAAATTTCAAATAATTTTTCAACCGTGTACGGTTGATTGAATAGTCCCCAGAACGGGCATTACCTCTCTTTATTCCGAGAAATTGCCCATGGGTCCGTGGAAAAAATATCCACGACTACACGCACATGAATTCTCCGGATCTGTACTCCGGACATTAAAATTAACGTGTCTGATACAATTTTTTTACCCTCCACATGCTCAGGAGTGAAAAGAAATGATGAATAGCAGTTGGAAGAAATTTCGATACAATTGCCACAATACTCAATAGACTATAGCAAAAATAAAATATTCCTTCTGCATGGTGTGTATTTATTTTTGCGAATGGAAACATATGATGAAATAAACTATTGCAGTATGTATGTCACATGTACGTGCACCGAGGGGCGGGTAATTGTTGGACAGGTGCGTCCCACGTTGAATTGTTAATATGCACTGGAAAAAAAATTGAAAATTAAATTATAGACAAATTATAGACTAGACGAATAATCGAGTCATTAAATTTAAGTTTTACTATTCTTTTTCATTGAATAAATAAAGCGGTTGGTCCATTTCATTAATTGTTTAATATTGTGTGATTAATTTTTTAAAATAACCCTCACGAAATTCTGGAAAATAGAGTTGAATTTATTTTTACATTGTTCCATAAAATATAGTAGAGGAAATATACCGTACAGCCACGTTCACGTAATTCGTTTCACTCTGTCGCCTATGAAAATGGATAGTTCTCTCTCGGTTGCACAATTCAATTCTCAATCTCTCTGTCGTCTCCTTCGGAATCCTTTCCTCCCTGATTCTCATTCCTGTCTACCACATTCGCAGTCATCCATAATCATTCAAAGTTACTGACTCCCTGAGTTGTTTCGTACAATGTACAACTGGGAGCTGCCGCGAATATTGAAATATTATTAATAAGAAAAGAATTCAGAAACAATTTCACTTTTACGAATTTATTATGATCCTAAAAGCTGAGGAGTCATCGGAGTTTGATTTTAATTTCAATTGAAAACCGTCATCAATTTTTTATTTAACTTGAAAAATCAGGGAAATTCGCAATAATTTCGTACAGTGTACCATCCAGCTTCTCAACTTCTTGATTTTAACACTTCGAGTTATTACGACAATGAGATAAAGAACCGGGGTCGGTAAGCCGGGGCGATAATTGTGATTACTTTTTTTGGAGATTGTATTCTAATTGACTCAATCGATTAAAACACTGGCAAAAAATTTTCTGTTAAATGCCTTGACTTTCAGATTTTCTTGTAGCAAGTGAATTCAATTTAAACCTAAGATTCTTTTATCCATCCAGTTTTTATTTGTTATGATTCTAGTTGAGCAATAATAAATTTAAAAAATTCAATCACTCGATAGGAGACAAATTCTCAGTAAACGATTGATGAGTAATTCTGAGACCGACCCACGTCTCGTTGAGAGAATTAAACGGGCAACCTAAATCGGAAATTTGACGCGTTAAATCCGGACAATTTACCGTTCATCAGATTGTTGTCGAGGGAATACATAACCCAGGGAAATTGACTTATTTGTTGTACGTGATGGGGATAGAAGTGTGGCTGATAGCTCCTCCCGTCAATTAAAACCGATAACTGATTTTTCGGTGCCATGCAACCATGAAATCATCCTTGGCTAAATAATATATTACATTTTAGCGTAAAATATTGCACATGTGGTGAGATATCGGATGTGAGGGGTCACATGTTGGGTCACACAAGCAGTGACAAACGGGATTAATGTGTCATGTGGACCTTGCTCTGTCATTTTCATTCACACTCATTCCTCTTGCTGATGTATTGAGAAGATCGAACGACTTGTGATTATAAAATTTTTAATACTGCACGCGGCCTTTTTTCTTTCATTTTCCATACAGCAGATTTATTTATTCTTCCGTGTGCCAGAAGGTGTGCAATGAAACGGCCTTCACACGTGCGAAACCCACATATTTTAGTTAATTATTAATCTTATTCGTGGGTTCGTGAGGGAGGTAATGGGGGGGAGGGTATCGCTCTCGCTTCGGTTAGATTGTTGCTGTTTTTTAATTAACTCGAGATTATTCTGTTTATTTCACTCATATCTCATTTTCCAAAACTTCTTCGTCATTTTTTTTTTGCACCGAGAATTTATGCATTTTTTATCAATTATATTAAAAATCCTTATATTCTCCGGAATTATAGTCCCTGTTGATCCGACGACTTTTCCTGAGGAAAAAAAAATTTTGAATAATTCTCATGACCTGGCAATTGTTGCTCTATTCAAGAATCAATGAAATTTGTGCGCAATTAACGTCCAGAGATTCTTAAATTAGCATAAACACGAACGTCGCTTGCCGTCGGATGGGATTCAATCGTTCCTCCTGAAACTCGTTTACCTTCGTATCATCGCATCTTTCCAGCTGTCACTGCTCATTATCATCCACCTATTGACCAATAAAATATTAGTAATTAGATTCAAGCGAGAAATGAAAACGCACCGAGATGTACTTACGCAAGAAATCCGTTGGTACTCGTTCTGAAATTTCCACGGTTAACAATAAAAATCCGCGATGTTCGACAATTTATCGGGGGGAAGAGCGCAGAACGGTGCACCAACGAGTAATGTGAGGCGGTATGTGGGCAACGGTGAAGACATTCGGGAAAAAAAATGGAAAAAAAAAATAAATAAATAAACCCCTTACCTTGTACTACACTGTCACGTTTATTAATCCGGCTTCTCGGGGCAATTCATGTGTAGTAGTTGAATCGTGCGGGTTCAGCAAGCGAAATACCCGGCAAAAGCCAGCCGAGAAACCCGAAGGAGCCCCTTACCCGTAATTCGATACTTTAACCGAGTTCTTGCCACAGTCTGTACAGGTTTGTGCAACATTGTAGCTATAATTTGCCAGTTTATCTTACAGTCGGAGGAAAAAGTATTGGCAACTCCCAACTCGTGGGGATGAGCTCGATGATTTGTATTGCTTACCCACATTAATTGTACTCAGATATTCACACACATTTCTACAGACAATTATTCACGAAAAATTGACTGAATTGATGACGGAATTATCAATCCGAATTTTTACGTGACACCCGCATAATTTGGATTTAGCCAAAACAAACGAGATATAAAAATTACCTATAATTTGCAGTATGTCAATGATTTTTTTCTACGGCTATTAACGAACAGTGACGCGAGAGTTACGAAGTTGAAAGTCCAAGAAATGGGATTGCAATAATTAATCAGCATTTTCTGAAACTCAGTGGATAATCGATGAGACAAAATGATTATGGATAGGACATCGCTCATTACTATTGAACTGCAATAAAAAATAATATTGTGTCTCACGGTCAGAAAATGTCACTTGATATATCGGTTTTTTCCTTCGTTATATTTCACGAAGAAATTACAGTAAAAACGTAATTTTTGTTAAACGCATCAACGAATTCTAGAATGGCGGAATAAGGACCGGAAGTTCTTATTTGATGAAGAAGCGAGTGTCAATGACGACAAATTTCTGAAGACACCTTAATAATAATGATAAAAAAAACTTGAGCCTCTGACAAATGCACGCATCACAATCAGCAGTAACGATTTTGCTCAAGTTACCTTGTTGCACACCATTAGCGCTAAATTAATTGGTATTTCACTTTACAACAGTTGTAGCTATTTGTCAACAGCTATATCAATTGCGGAATTCACACCAAATTTTCCGCTTATTGCTGATGGAAAATACAAGAATAGTCAGGAGTTATTTTGAGTTCTCTTGCACACGCTGCCTTCATGTACTTACAATGCTAAAGTGTTTTCAAGCTAGTGCTCGGTAAATGTTGCTGGTGATATCTGCCCACGCTAAGTCAATAGACCTCGAGTGATAATGTTGCTGGTAACTACAATGTATCGTGTAGATTGCACTGAGGTGGATAATAATTATTCTCACCAGGCATTGCGATGCGTGATAGTGATATTAATCAGTGCAGGCATCTTTTTTACCTCCACTTCAGTCTATTATAAACTCTAATTAACCCGTGACACGGTATAATTTTGTATTAACTGTGCCCCGAGATGAGATCGTATCTGATTATCTTTCTTCAACCGATATTTTTCTTTCCAAGGAGTTCGTGTCCTCCGATTTATTACGATAATTCGCTTTACACACTTCAAAGACAATAAAATAGTTAACTATCATAATTTTTATCCGATAAAATCCATTTTGCGCAGAATGCTTCCGCAATTGTTTTTGCGTTATGTAGTTGATAATTTTATGTTCAATGATGATTTCATAGATCAAGTGTGAACGGAGTTATTTATTTATAACCACTTAAGAATTGATGACATACAATTCAATGTGTATTTATATTTGATTACAAAGGGTATAATCGGAGTTATGGAATACTTATTCCATCTGTGTGAATTCTGTATATCCGATAGTTAGGATTTTTTGGATTCTTCAAATAAAAATGGAGACAAATCAGAATTGAACTATTTTTATACTGGATTATTAGTTGATAAATGAGACCATCTGTGCATTCCCTGAAGATAATTAAAAATGGATGTGCACGTGCAGACTTACCGTCGGTGCGTTCTGACGAAGAATTTCAAAGTGTTTTATAGTACTTTTGAAATTCAACAGACGATTGTTAATCCACGAATAATTGATGGCTTATCTGACGATAATTACTGCGACACAATTACTTATGGAAGACCATCCGCGAAATGTCAACGGCACTTTTCCGACGACACCGAGTCGACAAATTGCTGGTGGCCTGTTAAATCTCAGATGGTTACTGACAAATATTGTTACCTTGCTGCAATCATAATAATTACTCTGCAATTGTTTATCAGTGCGTGCAGCATTTG